AATGACCACTTAGAAATCAGGAGATGTGGGGTGCCTGGGTGGCTCAATGGGTTGAGCCTCTGCCTTCGGCTCAGGTCATGATCTCAGGGTCCTGGGATAGAGCCCTGCATCAGGCTCTCTGCTCACCGGGGAGCCTGCTTCCCCCTCTCTCTCTGCCTGCTGCTCTGCCTACTTGTGATCTCTCTCTCTCTCTCTCTCTCTGTAAGGTAAATAAAATCTTAAAAAAAAAAAAGAAGGGATTGGATGAGGCAGGAAATGCTGGGGGTCTTTAGGACAGGTGATTCTATAGTGGGGTGAGAGATTTCCCAACCTTCTTTGTACTGTTCTATATTTTTAAATTGTTTTGTGTTTCTAATAGGCCTGCATTACCCTTACAAAAAAATAAGTTATATATTTTATAAAGGAAAATGAAAATTATACTTAGTCATTATGGGACATCTGGAAGGTACAGGAAAAAAGTGCTCATTGCTTAAATGTAAGCACAACCTTTGTAAACGTTTTGGTACCTTTCCTTGTAGTCACTTTATATGCATATAATTCTACATTTTTGCATAGTTGTAATAATTTGTGTTTTTCTCCGTAAAAAAGTGAGGTGTGGGGTGCCTGGGTAGCTCAGTCAGTTAAGCATCCAGCTCTAGATTTCGGCTCAGATCATGATCTTAGGGTTGTTAAGATCAAACCCCGTGTTGGGCTCTACACTAGGTGTGGAGCCTGCTTTAGATTCTCTCTCCCTCCCTCTGCCCCTCTCCCCCTTAAAGAAAGAAAAAAAGTGAGGTGCCAGTACTCCCTATCTTTTTTTTTTTTTTTTAAGATTTTATTTATTTATTTGACAGAGAGAGATCACAATTAGGCAGAGAGACAGGCGGGGGGTGGGGGGTGGGGTGGGAAGCAGGCTCCCCGCCGAGCGGAGAGCCCAATGTGGGGCTCGATCCCAGGACCCTGGGATCATGACCTGAGCCTAAGGCAGAGGCTTTAACCCACTGAGCCACCCAGGCGCCCCAAGTACTCCCTATCTTGATGAACTATAAAAATGCCTCTTTCATGCTCACCTTTTCCTGGGCCTTTTTCTTCTTTTGTCTTGAATTGCAATCTCTGACTCATCTACACTGCCTAGAAAGCCCCATTTGATTAACAGATATCAATGTGACAAGCAGGAAAAAGAAAAAGAAAAGCTTATTATTTCTCCTCTTCTTGTTAGCACACACATCATTAATAATACCCTTTATGTTTTTTTCATGGGTAGAGTGATTCAGTCTACACATTCATATATTCATTCATTCAACAAATATTTGTTAAGTACCTTGTAAGGGCCAGCCATTTTACTCTTCAGTGAAGATGCAGAGACACTGAAGAATCCTTGCTCTTTAGGAGAACACAGAACCACAAATAAGAAAAACGTGAAAAGTATACATAGAAATATTAATCAACTTCTAAAAGACCACAGAGAAGAATCAGTTGGATTCTCTCTCCTAGAGATCCAAATGATTCTCCTAGAGAAATCAAGGAAAGCTTTTTATACATTAAATAAAATGGAGGATCTCAGAGAGATTTAATCACACAGCCGGTTAGTGGTTGAATTAGCATTAAAACCAGAGCTGACTGTAAAACCGCTCTTTCTTCTGCCGAACTAGGTCACAAGGAGGAGGCATCCCTCTTTTCATTTTGTTATAAGTTCCAGATGTCTGTATGTGGGGGATTCTTGAGTCATGGACGACAGCTTCCCCCTTTTTCTCTCCCTGTTTCAGAATGCCACCAGTTTCTGATTTGATCAAAGAGTAACAGAGTGGAAGTAAGGAGACCTGGGTTCTCTAGAACCAGCTTTGCCACTCATGATGAACTGGGTCATCATGGGCATCTTATTCCTCATTTCTAGGCATCTCTTCCCATCTGTAAAAGTGAGGAGTTTGAAATAAATCTTTCTAAGCTTCTAATTTTTGTAAGTTATATGTCATGGTTTCCTCCTCCTTTTCAAATTATGTAGCATTTCCATAGAAGCAAGGGTTCCCAAGGGACTTGGCAAGTCTAGACACACCATGGAATTGGCAGAGGGATAGGTGAGGGTCAAAGGTGAAGGCTCTTAACTGCCTGGGTTTGAATCTCAGGTCTGTCACTTATTGCTATTTAATCTTGAACAAACCACTTAACTTCATTGAGCCTCGCTTTTCTAATTTGTAAATCAGAAATAATAATAAATAACTCAGAGTTGTGTGAAGATTCATTGAGCTTATGTATATCCATCCACACTATTTTACATGGTGTCTGGCACATAGCACTCAGTTAATGTAGGTAATGATACTAATGGCTACTGTACTAGTACTAATTTGGAGTCCTGAAGAGGTTTTAGAAACCAAAATACCATAGTAGCTTCTTTTACTAATGATTCCTTCGTATAGGCACAAAGGAACCAATATGTACATGCGTTGAATATGGAGTTTTAGTCATTTTCCCCTCAGGTGTTCAATTAAAGGGTTGAAAGGGTTGGAGTACTGTTTGCTGCTAACTTTTACTCATGACCCAGAAAAGACTTCCATTCCTCTTGTATAATATGGGAGGAGTCATCCATTCTTTTCTCTGCTGTGTTCCCAGTGCTCAGAGCAGGCTACAGCATGGGGTAGGTACTTTGCAAATGTTTTTTGAGTGACTAAATGATTTCACACTTTGTTTTTAAAAACTGAGGAGAATAGTAGCACTTGGCAGTGAGTCTTTAGGCTCTTGGATCTTAGCCTGTGACATGTGTTGAGTTTGTTTTGAAGGGGATTTGGGGACATCCCATGACAATCAAAACAGAATTCTTCTGATACCAGTGTTTGGCTTTCTACTTTGATCAATAGGCTTATTATTTGCCCTTGAAACCTCTGTGGTGCTGGGGAATCACAGACATTCCTCAGGATGATTTACACGGCAGTAAATAATCTGTGCTGTCGGTTGCTTGCTTCATCAGTGTCTGCCCTGTTCCTAAAACCCTGGAGGCTCCATGGCCCCAAGGCTGGAGCACTGCCGACGCTAACTCCAGATCATGTCGCTTAGCTTTACTGTTGTTTTGTTGCTCTAATATGCATCCACAACGCATTTTTTTTTTTAAAGATTCTATTTATTTATTCAACAGAGAGATCACAAGTAGGCAGGGAGGCAGGCACAGAGACCGGGAAGCAGACTCCCTGCTGAGCAGAGAGCCCGATGCGGGGCTCGATCCCAGGACCCTGGGATCAAGACCTGAGCTGAAGGCAGAGGCTTTTTAGCCCACTGAGCCACCCAGGCACCCCTCCACAACGCATTTTTAAGGTTTGGTGTAATTGTACAAGTTATTTTCCATCTGACTTTAGTATAGTTACGATACCATTTATTTTTTACCTCTGTTATATGGTAGGCTCTGCATACATCATCTTCTCTAATCTGAGTTAGGTGATTGTACCCTTTTTATAGAAGTGGAAACTCAGACCCAAGGAGGTGAAGCTTATTTTCTGAAATTGCGTGGCCCATAAGTGCTGGAACTTAGATTTTAACTCAGGTCTTTCTGGACGCAAAGCTCTTAGCTGCGATACTATGACATTTTTTTAATCTAAGGGACTTTCTTCTGCTGCTGTAAGTGTTTGGGGTTTAAGTTTGCAACCTCTTGCAAAGATCCATAAGTTTCCCATATCATTCAGAGATGAATTTTAAATTTCTTAACAGCATTGCAAATACATGAAATTTATAGAGACAAACATAGCCAGATTACTTTCTTGTTATCCATCCATTTAGCAAATTTATAGTTCCCATTAATTTTAATCTGTCCTTATTACCTGTTTTATATAATAAATATCTCTTAGTCCTGACAGACTGAGTATAGATCACCTGAAGTAGGCTCTCTCTCAATAAGCAGAGTTGCAGCTAAAGATTTGTGAATTAATTGGGAAAATTGCAAATCAGGTAGTCAGTGAAATAATTCATTGTCACATCCAATCAATAAACTTTGTAAATCAACTCATTTAATTCAAAAAATGATCTATATAGATCAAGCAACCAATTAAACAATTAGCATACACTTTGCAATTAATTAATTTAAGCATCAATCATATAATTAAAACTCCAAATTTAAACTGCACAATTTAGAACTCTAGTGCCTTGTGAACTACTAGGTTCATGTCTGTGAATGCTAGCAGATTAGCAGTTTCACAATTCAACTTAGAAGCAGGGTATCTTAAAATGTTTTTAATTGATTTTTAAGCTTTAAATTGTCTTTATGATGGTAGAGGTTCCCACCTCTTTTCTGCAAGTTGGCTTTTTAATTCCCCCAAAGAAAGAGAAGGCAGTGTGTGTTGGCTGTAAGATGGGGAAGTCTGGAATCTGGGAGTACAGACTGGACATTCTGGGGATGTGAGGACAGTAGTTACCTGCATCAGGATAACTCAGGTCATTTGCTTTTACTCTGTTAATGTTTGGAATCAGATCTTGCCATGTGAATCTGATACTCTTCAAAGAAAGGAGAACTGTATGGATTGTCTTTGTTACCTTGAGTATTCCTCTGACCTAGAACAGGTATTTTCTTAATCCTAACCGTAAGTCAAAGGCCTCTGATTCCTCCCCCATGCCAATAATTTTTTCTCCTTTATAGTTTTGTTTCTCTTTTATGATATTTATTTTATGTATACTTACAGGTAACTAATGTAGTACTTACTTTTTCAACTTGATATACTGTAAGCTTCCTTGAGGGCTAATAATAAATATCATCTTTGATTTAAGGGGTTAAGTTCTGCATCTTACCTATAACAGGTGCTCAGTAAATATTTGTTGAAAGAATAGAGTACTGGAAGGCCCTCATTTCACATTGCTTTTCTCCCCCTTTGTATGCCATGTTTTCTCTATCAAATGCAATAGGATTGGGAGGAATCTAATGTATCACCAGGCTCTTGGGTAAAAGAACAGCTGTGTCCCGGTTTGCTTGCTGTATACCATCGGCTCTGGTCTCCTTGGCCCTCCTTCATCTTGGTATTCACTCACCTTTTTGGTTTTCCTTTCAGTGACAACGTCAGTGCCTACTGCCTGCATATTGCTGAGGATGACGGGGAGGTTGACACAGACTTCCCCCCACTGGACTCCAACGAGCCCATTCATAAGTTCGGCTTCAGTACCTTGGCCCTGGTTGAAAAGTATTCATCTCCTGGTCTGACATCCAAAGAGTCACTCTTTGTTCGAATGTGAGTATTGACCCTGTTACTGATCTCAGTATTTCATCTCTGCCTTCTAGGATTTGGACTTGTTTGCTCATGATATGAATGCCACTGGGTATCCGGATGTCCATTTGTAGTGACTACTTCCAGGGAGATGTTGAAGGCCCCGTTTGCATTGTGTTTCATGCTTCTGCACCTGGATTGAATGCGGACCGCTTTGCAGTAGCAGTTTGCATTAGGTAGATCTCTGCACATAGCATCTGTGAGCCAGGCCTCTGGACCAAAGGCCTCTGGTACTTTGGAGACTGTGAAGCAAAAATTTTAGTTTTCCCTTTCTCTTCATGAACTCCAAGCTATGTGAAAATGTGCATTGCAGCCACTTTTGTCTTGTGACTTAAAATACTTCTTTTCTTCTCCAACTTCGTTCAAATCAACTTTGATTTTTCCTCTCAGTTGCCTTCCTTTAGACTGATAAGGGGGTATTTTCCCGTGCCTTTGGCATTCTGGTAAAGGCTTTAACTTATAAGCCCTTTCCAGAAAAAGTGTTTGTAAATGCAGAAAATAAAATCCACCAAGAATGTAAAAGAATTCCATTATATTTAAATACTTCTGAAATTATTAAATGAATTTGTGATACAGTGATATGTATGGCTTTTTAATACCAAGATCCAGCAGCAGGTCTAACTCCTAAGTCTCTCACTTCAAAGTAGTGATGAGCATAAATGAGATTTAAGAAGTCTGCAGCAACTGTAATGTGCTGTGACATTTGTTTTTTTCTGTTCTTGACAGAGTCGCCAATACTGCTAATACTCCTGTGATTTGTTGACTATATTTATAATTGAAGGAAATGGGGACACCTGGGTGGCTAGGTGGGTTAAAGCCTCTGCCTTTGGCTCAGGTAATGAGCACAGGGTCCTGGAATCAAACCCCACATTGGGCTCTCTGCTCAGCAGGGAGCCTGCTTCCTCCTCTCTCTCTGCTTGCCTCTCTGCCTACTTGTGATCTCTGTCTGTCAAATAAATAAATTAAGTCTTTAAAAAAATAATAATTCAAGGAGATGCTAACTATCACAAGTTAATGAAAATAAAAATAAAATTATTGTGTATTCAAGTCTCTAGAGTGAGTTTTTACCCAGGGGTCCCAATTGTTAGAAGAAAACCTGTAACGTTTTCTAAGCACAGAGTAAGCTTCGCTAATGGGAATGGAGACTTGTCCTCTCCAGGCCCTCTCCTGGGAACACTAGTGATCCTTTTGGCACCCCCTGCTGTTAGTAACCAGCAAACTCACTATCCACAGGAGGGATTGCTTTAGAGGACTTTTCCCTTGTCTCTTTAAAACATACTGCCTTTGTTTCAGATTTTCAGTGAAAATGGGATTATGCTACCTATGATATAGGAGGATTTTGTGTCTTTCTACCCTTGAACAAAGAAAGAACACCTGAGTGTTGGGAGAGAGGGGGAGCTGTTGGGGGGGATGACTCCCAAGTTTTTGTACTTAGGGTTTCATCCCTGCTATGAAGTCTTGTTTGCTATATTTAACAGTAAATATTTTCCCTCTTTTTATGTTTCAAAGGGGCTAAAACAACAACACTGAAGAATACTGAAAGTAATTTAAAACTTATCCAATGATTTCTCCCTCCTAATATAACTATTTTCATTTTCGTATCCTCATTTCCATATATATATGGAAATATATATATTAAAATATATAACATATAATTATATATTTTACAATTTCTGCTCTAGTGTAAATATTTTGTTATTTTTACTTAAAATTACAAATATTTGATATCTGTTCTTAGTTCCTATAATCTATATTTATTATGTACCAAGAATCTAGACCAACCCTGTGCTCATGGAGCTTACTATCTAGTAAGGAGGGATTCATCAAATCATTAAAACGTGGTGAGCAGGACAACAGAAAAAGGCCCAGGCTGCATTGGAAGCCTACCACTGGATATTTAGATTGTTTTCTTGCTTTGGTTTTAGTAAATGATGCTATTAGTCCTTATCCAGATCCCTTTTACTTCTGCTGAATCACAGCCTTTGGACAATTTCCTGTGTGTAGTATTATTGGTCAGATTAGAAACATCTCTAGACTTTCACTTTGTATTGACATGTAGCCTTCTGAAAGGTGTTCCAGTTTACAGTGCTACTGTATTACTAACAGCTACTGAATACTAACAGAATTCATTAAAGCATCTTTTCAAAGTCTTATTGTCACAAAGTATCATTAGGACTTTTTTTCTGTTTACTTTAGACGATGTATACAGGGCTACTTAAGTAGTCTCCACTTGCATTTTTGTTTTTATTTATAAATGACTGGAAGAGTTCTCATTAGTGCATAAATAAATACTACCTAATAAATACTACATAAATATTATATAAATAAATAATAAAATAAAACATAAATAAATACTACATAAATATTAACATGTGACCACCACATTCTTTTGAAGTAAGTGTCCTTTTTAAAACAAGGGCTTTTAGATCATTGATTTTCAACAGAATGGGGCTGGGGATAGGCAAGACATACCTTCCCAGGAGAAGCATCTAAAGACTATACAGGGTCTCCCTATGAACCCTGGCTTTTGGAGAATGGAAGGAAAGAGAGGAGGAAGGGCAGAGAGTAACAACAACTGCTTTGAACTTAATACTCTTACTTTTTTCCTGAATTACTCCCATCCCTGCACTCCCACTCCCAAACACATATACCCCAGTCAGTCCTTTTTCTGTTTTTAAAATTCAGGAGAGCTTATTCGATATGTCTGGAGTGTTTCCGAAAACACGAGGTAAAGTAAAAACTTTCTATGTGAGCATTTAAGAAAAAAAAAAAGTCAATGTTTCTTCTCTTCCTCAGTTGTCTGATGAAATGGTACAGATTACTGACCGTTTGCCCCATGTGTATTTTCTTGCTTCAGCAACCTTCCATTCACCTTGCTGGTCTATATTCTAAGTTAGAAAAGCCTCTCCTGCAAATGCAAGACAATGTGTCCAAAGTTTCAGAGAGTAAAGTCCCAGCAAAATAAGTAAAGCTGTCACTCCTTTTCCCAATTAACCCCTTACCTCCTTGCCTCTCTCTCCCAGGGGAGAATGGGCAGGGGGCGTCTGGGAAGACACGGAACTGAACCAGGAAGAGAGAACTTGGCTTTGACAATAAGCAGTGAATTAGTATTTACTAAATGGAAGCTATGTATATGTTAGTCCATTTAATCTGAATATAGACTGGTTTTTATTATGACCATTTTCAAGACATGAAAACTGAGGCTGACAGACTTTGCTCTCAGGCCTGGATTTGCCCCCATGCCTGACTTGCAAATGCAAGTCCACGCCCTTTGCAACACACTGCTGAGGGTTTGGGACAGTGGTGAGGAATCTAGTGGTGGTCTCATCATTCAAGTAAATCCCACTGTCTTAAGGCCAACATTCAGCTACTATATATTATAGTGTAGGGTAAGAGTGAGGGGGCCTCTGGTGCCAGAATGCTTGCGTGCCATTCCTGACTTTACCCTTGCTAGTATGTGTGTGTAATCTTGGATGAACTGCTTAACCTTTTTTGGCCCAGTCAAATGAGGGTAATAATAATAGTACCTACCTCATAGAGCCGTGATGAGGATTGAATGAGTTGATATATGTAAAGCACTTAGAACAGTGCCTGGCTGTGTGAGTGTTTATTGTAGTTATTATTGCTATGACTAGAAACCTTTTGAGGGCAAGAACTGATCACTTATGCCCCACGACACCCAGAGTAGCTCCATTAGTGTGGTAGGTACACCACAAATATGTGTCAAATGAACTAAGTAGAACTACAGCTGCTTCTGCATTTTTCTTCTTCCCCTCCTTTCTGTCTCTATAAGAGAAGGGCAGAGTGTGGGTAGACATTGCTCAGCTGGACTGAAAAGTTATCAGGGTAACGTTTGCTGAGTTAGGGGCAGGCGTAGACATTGGCAGGGGTAGACACTGGAGATCTGTGGACTTCAATTCAGTCCTCTCCCGGGCAGACATCTTTTAAGAGATAGTAGCAAGACCGTGAACTCCTTGAAGAGAGGGCGCGCACGGTCTTCGCAGAGCAGGAATGGATGAACCTTCAGGTGTCTTCGGGCTGCCCGGGCGGCGCGTGGGGGCTGGTCAAACTTTCTGTCCTACTTTACTTTCTGAGCTCACCTGGCTTTTGGTACAGCCCTGTTCCTGCCTTTTGAATGCCATGAAGCCCCCAGCTTGCCTTCTGGCTTTCGGAGGCCCTCACATCACCCACCCCACACCTCTCCCACCTCCCGCATACCATCTTTCCCCACTCCAAGTGAGGCTGTACAAACTTTGAGCTTTGGCTAACCTGGGTTCAAGTTTCAGTTTCACTGGCGACTTGCCACATGACCGTAATCTCAGCTTCTTCATCTGAAAAATGAGGGGAGTAATAACTACCTCATAGAATTGTCATGAGGAATTTTCTGAAATGTAAATAATGTACAGACCTCTTTTAAAGGAAAATTAATTCTCCTGAAGCCTCAATGTTTGCCAAAATTCGTTTGATTATAATGTTACTTAAATACACTTAAGTGTAAAATTCTAGCTATAAATTCCATGTCTTTATGCAATCCAAACAAAATTACAAATTAAATACAAATAAAACTATAATGTTAATAAAATACAAATTAACAACTTAAATGCAACAGATGATGTTTGGCTCAGATTAAGTCACTGATGTTGGATTTAATGGGTGTTAAATGTTTTACTTGTCAACTTGAGTTTTTTTTATTTTCTTATGAAACATTGACTACCATATTAATATTTGTCCTTTGAAATAGTGAGTGTATTTTTAACTACTAGTCCATTATTTTAATGAGCCGGTTGATTTATAGTGCATTCCCCCCCCCCCCCCCCCCGCAATTTTACATGTGCTTTACTGGAAAAATAAGGCATTTCTGCAACGATAACGAATTTATGCCAGTTTGCCCAGGACTTTCCCTGTTTTGAAAGTCAAAGTCCTATACCCAGGAGCATCCTCCTCAGCCCATTGTCATTTGTTCT